GCCCTTTGAACGGACTAAGAACCTCACACTTCCCTCTTCCACTCCTCCACCGCCTCTTGTCCCCCCGGCTACGCAGCACCAGAACTCTGTATCAGGTGCACTCATGCGCCCTTTGCGTAGGCTTAAAACTCTCTCTCCCCCTCCTCCCCGATCCCCATCCCCTCATCCCCTCTTGTTCCCCCAGCTATGCAGCACCAGAGCAATACATCATGAGCACTCAAACGCCCAATGAATAGGCTTAAACCTTTTCCCCATTTCCCCTCTCCCTCATCCTAACTCCCCAGCTACGCAGCACCAGAGCAATACATCATGAGCACTCAAACGCCCAATGAATAGGCTTAAACCTTTTCCCCATTTCCCCTCTCCCTCATCCTAACTCCCCAGCTACGCAGCACCAGAGCAATACATCATGAGCACTCAAACGCCCAATGAATAGGCTTAAACCTTTTCCCCATTTCCCCTCTCCCTCATCCTAACTCCCCAGCTATGCAGCACCAGAGCAATACATCATGAGCACTCAAACGCCCAATGAATAGGCTTAAACCTTTTCCCCATTTCCCCTCTCCCTCATCCTAACTCCCCAGCTACGCAGCACCAGAGCAATACATCATGAGCACTCAAACGCCCAATGAATAGGCTTAAACCTTTTCCCCATTTCCCCTCTCCCTCATCCTAACTCCCCAGCTACGCAGCACCAGAGCAATACATCATGAGCACTCAAACGCCCAATGAATAGGCTTAAACCTTTTCCCCATTTCCCCTCTCCCTCATCCTAACTCCCCAGCTACGCAGCACCAGAGCAATACATCATGAGCACTCAAACGCCCAAGGCGCCTCCCCCCACCATCGCTGCTCTGCTCTCGCCAGTGTTATGGCAGGTGTGTGTGTGGGTGGTCCGATCGTCATTGCTTGGCTTGATGTTGAGTGCATGTGCTGAATGCTTGTGGTGGGCGGGGATGTGGGTGTGCGGGTGCGCCAGTGCGCCTGTGTATTTGTGCGTATATGCGACTGGGTGTGCCAACGTGTGTGTGCAAGTGATTCTCATGCGCTGCCATGTGTAGGGTCCAAAATTTCAGTGTCTCTGCCTTTTGGTGTCCCTCTTCCTCTCTCTCCCTCTTCCTCTCTCTCCCACTTCCTCTCTCTCCCTCTTCCTCTCTCTCCCTCGCTCTTCGTCCTGGCTTGCAGATGAACCTCCCTGACCGCTTCGACATGTACAGTGTGGGAATCATCTTCCTTCAAATGGTGCGTGCTATAACGGGGCTGGGAATCCTATCTTTCCAAAACCACTGGGCTAAACCCCTATCTTGCGTGGCGCTGTTTCCACTTCATCTGTTGCGGTTTGCATCAAGTGCATAAATTGGTGGGCGGTTGGATGTTTGCATAAAGCGCTGGTGATGGGTTTGCATAGAGTGCATTGTTGCTTACTAAGTCTTCCCCGAACTAGGTCAACCAGTCACCCCGAACTAAGTCCACCACCACAACAAGCGAGCCCTTCATCCAGGTCAACCACCAACTCATTTTCTCGCTTCCCTTCCCCTTGTAGTTTCCGGTCCCTCCCCCCTCATGTCATCCATTCTTCTCCCCTTCGCATTACCCCTTCCCCAACCTCCGCACGGACAGTCAACTCATCCAGTTCGACCGCTAGCTCATCTACTCCCTCCACTCCCCTCCCCTCCCCTCCCCTCCCCTCCCCTCCCCTCCCCTCCCCTCCCCTCCCCTCTCCTCCTCCCCTCCCCTCCCCTCCCCTCCCCTCCCCTCCCCTCCCCTCCCCTCCCCTCCCCTCCCCTCCCCTCCCCTCTCCTCCTCCCCTCCCCTCCCCTCCCCTCCCCTCCCCTCCCCTCCCCTCCCCTCCCCTCCCCCCTCCCCTCCCCTCCCCTCTCCTCCTCCCCTCCCCTCCCCTCCCCTCCCCTCCCCTCCCCTCCCCTCCCCTCCCCTCCCCTCCCCTCCCCTCCCCTCCCCTCCCCTCCCATCATCACCTTTTCTTCTCCAGGTCTTCCCCAACCTTCGCACGGACAGCCCACTCATCCAGTTCAACCGCCAGCTGAAGTGCTGCGACTACGACCTAGCCAAGTGGAACGAGGTGCAAGAATCCCGCACCCTCAGCGACTCATCCTTTCTGCTCCTCTCCCCTTTAAACCCATCCCATCTCCCGTCAGGTCTTTTCCAATCTCCGCACGGACAGCCCACTCATTCAGTTCAACCGCCAGCTCAAGCGCTGCGACTACGACCTGGCCAAGTGGCGCGAGGTGCAAGAATCCCGCACGCTCAGCGACGCACAGATCAAGGCCTTTGCCATGCTCGACGCCGACGGCGGCCACGGGTGGTCCCTCCTGCAAGCCCTCGTCAATGTGAAGCCCGGGCGGCGGATCTCGGCTGCAGGGGCGCTCGCGCACCCGTTCTTCTACCCCGGGGATGTGCCGCTGCTGCAGCAGCTGCGGCTGGGGTTCCTGCGGTTCCTGTACCGGGACAACACTGAGTTGTCAGAGGCGTTTGGGACGTTCATGTCGAAAGCAGGAACGGATGAGGCGGGGGGATTTACGGAGGCTTCGCTGATGGAATTCAAGGTGAGATCCGTTGAGAGTGGCTGTGTGTTGTTGCTGCTCCAGCAACTGCAGTTGGGGTTCCTGCGGTTTCTGTATCGGGACAACACGGAGTTGTCAGAGGCGTTTGGAACTTTCATGTCGAAAGCGGGCACAGATGAGGCGGGCGGGTTCACGGAAGCCTCGCTGATGGAGTTCAAGATGGGTTTGAGTGCGAGGGCTTTGTGAGTGTGTTGGTCCTGGTGTTTCGTTGTGGTAGTGCCCCTTTCGCCATGGAATGTGCTCTCTCTTGCACCCACCACGTGAGATGCTCCCATCGTCCAATTCGTTTCTTCGTTCACCCTGCCTGTTCATGGGCCCATGAACAACCCAATGTGTCACCACGTTCCCATTGCATGCAATTCTGTTCATTGGACCAGAAGCGGGAGAGGAAATTGAAGAAGTCAACACTGGACCGCAACGCACTGGCCTCCATGATCAAGGCATCACGAAAAGTGTCACGCAATGTTGCATCCACCATGTCTACCACGTTCGGAAGCTCCAAGGAGGATGGCGCCAAAAAAGAGGCTTGGTGGAACCGGTGGCAATCGGAATAGGCTGGTCGAATGGTTTAGTCGCTCCACTATCGTTATCAACCAATGTTGCTAAATTTCACTAGTTTTTTTTAATGGTTTTATTTCTTTTAATGGTCGTCCCTATGCAGGCAGCAAAGCGATGCAAGTGTAGCATGAATTTTTGGCGGACAGGTTTTTGCAGGTTATAAAATATGTTTTTGTTCAGCCAAGAGCACATTGTTGCCACTTCTTACCTGAAGTTTTGTATTTACGGTGGAGTAATATTTTGCATAGCGTATATACTTATTACTTCCGGCTTATAGTAGGACAACCCTTGATGCGGATGTAGATTGTTATAATAACGCACCCAATCCAAATCCAAACCAACGGTTGGCGCCCTGAGTGCACTGCACAGAACGCAGGGGACTCAAATTTCAGGGTAAATGATGACGGTCTTCCTCTCGACCGTTTGCTTGCAGCATTTACCGTGTGAAGACATTCTCCGTGTGGCGCATGCGTGACTACTTGAGTGGTGAGCAAGAGGAGCTCATCGGGAGGGAAATTGATCAGAGCACTGCCCCAAAACACAGCTGCCCGTAAGAATTCTGGTGGGATGGGGTCAGATGCCTTTCCGATCCGCCAAAAAGGAACCGTCGAGGCATCCATCCATAGTGTGTGGTGCAGCATGAACCTGAAATAAAAGGTCATCCGACATCCTAAGTCTGTGGTGTGAAGCTCTCGCTGGTTTGCTTGAATCAATTAGGCTCTGCCATCTCCAGTGCTTCGATTGGTTATTTACTTGTATCGCGCGGAAAATCAGCAACAAGTACTGATGGTTCAAGCGACCGAGACCACTTGAGGATGCAAAGTGACGTGGCATTTGCACGACAATCATTTTGAAGGAAGTCACGTGACCTTGGTTGCGAATGACGATAGGCAGGCAACCACACACTGGCGGATTTTTCCACAACGCAACCATCCCTGTCGGGAACATATATCTTCGGGTTACTTCTCCATTTTTTTTAGTCGGTGCACTCTCATCAAGTGAAGAACATCGAAAGAATAATCGACCACTGTCCTAACCAGCCAGTTTCAAGACCACGACGGAATATTCGGGGAATTTGTGTCCACTTGGTAGGAATGCATACCTTCAATATCGAGTGATCAAGCATTCGAGAATTGTACCGCCTGGCGCGCTATGTGGAAGTGCTTCCCCGTTGCTTCTAGAATGTGCATTTGCGCGAAGTTGATCCTATCCAAGTGACTATGTCGAATGTTCGCACAAAATTTTCGCTAGCAACCCACAGTCGTCTGGATTCACTTCGATGGGCAGGGGATGCCCATGTCAGCGCAGCCAGCTGGAACCCTCATGTGGTGGGAGACCGACAGATACATTCCTCAGGCTGCCCAGGAGCAGCAACCATCACTTTTTCCCTGACCAGCAAACTTTTCAATCCCCAACACGCTTCAGGGATGGCTGGGGGAGCAGCCTCAAGAAAATCCTCAAATTCCCCAAGAAACCTTTCCCCAAGGCAGCGATGTTGCCGTGCAGTGTACAGTACATTTCCGCCAAGGACGGAACGCACGAAACACAACGGAGTTCCCAAGGAGGCGGGCGGAAAAGAGGGGGAGGGGAGGAAAAAGAAGTTCCTTGGGGATTCCTTCCATCCACCCCACCCTTCCTGCTTGCTTCCAGTTTGTCAGGAGCAGTCCGCCTGTCCTTATCCTCAGGCGAGGTGATGTCACAGGGCTCTGCCAGGCCACATATGAGATCCCCTTTCCCACATTGTTGGTTGGCACATTCACACATTTCAAGCTCTTCACCTCCATTGTGCCCAACCCAGAGAAAGCTTCCCTGTTTTCTCTGGCTAGAGGGTTTCAGAGTCTGTCAAGCTTGTACGTTGCAATGGCTGGAATAGTATCCGCTGCTCCTGTTTCACTGGTGGAGATTAAGGAGCAGGCTTCGAAGCCTGCGAAGTCTGCGCAGAATGAAAAGGGAAAGGATAAGACGCAGAAGGCGAACGAGCAGCGCCTGGGGATCCGGGACCCGATCATCTCCAAAAAGCAGGGGTCGTTGCAAAAGGGCTCCGGTAAGACTGACGGGAAGCTCCAGCTTTCGAAATCCACCGAGTCTTTGGCGACGACAGATCCTATGAAAGGTGCCGCTTTGTCGGATATTTTGGCGTCGGATGTTTCGGAGATGGACACAAAATTCGCCGTCACAGCTGCTGCCGAGCCTGCCGATAGTGATAAGGTTGAGTCGGATTGCTTGGAGCGGCTACCACATGGCAACTCTGCGTCTGCGAGTAGTCCGGCGAGGGAAGGGACAGCAGAAGTTCAAGGGAAAGACGCAGCGTTAGCAGCAGCAGCAGACGACCTTGAAAACTGTGACATTTCCTCTTGGCCGGATTTCTCGCTGGATTCATTCGACGGCGGGGAGATAGATGAGCTGGACATGGCAGGTTCGCTCATTTTGCCGGAGCTCGAGGAAATGTCTCAGAAGGACCAATCGCAAGCAGAGCCGGAAGCCAGTGCCGATACACGTCCGTCGACGTCCTCCAAGAGTGTTCAGCAGAGCGAGCAGTACGAGTCGTCCTGCAAGAGCGGAAGCAAGACTTCCACGGGAAAGAAAAAGGCTAAGGTATGTCCGCGGGTGACACTCGCAAGAAGGACCATATCTTCATTTCATACATCTGCATCGCTCATCGCTAAAATGTCCACCTTTCTGTATTGTCGCATCTCCAGGTTGACTGGACACCGGAGCTTCACAGAAGATTCGTCCTCGCGGTAGAGCAACTGGGAGTTGAGAAGGCCATTCCATCTAGGATCTTGGAGCTTATGGGAGTGAAATGCCTCACCCGGCACAACATCGCCAGCCACTTGCAAAAGTACCGCTCGCACCGGCGGCATCTCGCCGCTCGCGAAGCCGAGGCCGCGAACTGGCACAGCAGAAAACCGTCCGATGGAATGGTCTGGCCTGGTCAGGCAACAGCAGCACCAGCAGCAGCAGCCCCTACTTCATGGGCTTATCCTACTACTGCGCCTGCTCCTAGCGGAACGCAGTCCAATCCGCCGATGATTCAGCCCCGACCCGTGGTCGGTGTGCCGCCGTATCAGCCGTATCAGATGGCTCAGTCGCACATGCCGATGGCGCATCACCAGCCGTCGATGGCGCCGAACCCTGCGCCCGCGATGGGCATGCCGATGCACGTGTGGGGTCATCCGACCGTGGACCACTCGCGGTCGCACATGTGGCAGCAGCCGCAGCACCAGGCTGCGCCGTCTCCTTACCCTCCTCCCGCGTGGTTCGCTCCCGACGGCTCAGTCTGGCACTACGCTGGGGTGAGCTTACCTACGAATAGCCTTCCACGTTTGCTAATCGCCGTGCGTTAGCTCAGTCAAACCTTCCGTCTTTCCCGTCACTAAGTTTTTTTCTCGTTCTTGGCGTCCATCCTCTCTTAACGTGCAGGTGCAGGCTCCGTCGCCTGCGATGGACGCGTGGGGCCATCCCACCATGATGGTCTCCGGAACGCCCTGCTACCCCCATCAGCAAGCGCCCGCACTCAGCTACCCTGTGGTACGTGCTGCTCGCCTCGGCGTCGCGGAAGCCTAGATGCGCGCGTTTCACTTCCCAGTGTTCTTTGCAGTTTCGCCTCTTCCCGACATTGCAGTTGTCTCTTGCTCAATCCCGTTATTCCATCATCCTGTTCTCTCATTTATCGTCTTCCCTATCGAATGCTAGTACGCTGACTCTATCACTCTCAACGTCTCTTCTTTCCGTCTATCTCGTTCGACCCCCTCGCGTACCCGCAGGCACAGGGCGTGGTGTGCGGAGCTCCTGTGTGCGGACCGGCAGGAATGACCCACGGCGCCATGCCAGGCATGCAGTCCTCCATGGGCGTACCCGCTCAGGGTTCAGTCGCCATGGGCGCCCCTCCCGCCGGTGCCATGCCCGGGACGATGCCCACGACCGGAACCGTGAACGGGACAGTGAGCGGTACTATGGGAGGAACGATGGGAGGGGCGGTGGGCGGAATGGCGCCGGTTCCAGTGTCTGAGCCAGCGGACATTGCGGACGAGGCGATGCCGAACCCCATGTTCCCCCTCCCGGATGACATTACTTTGGACTTCGCTGCCATCACCGCCAGCCTCGGGGAGGACCTCATTGAGGTATGCTCGCTCGCTTGCACTACTGTTCTCCTGCTCCCTTCGTGTTCCCGCTTTTTTTCCGCCTTAAAACATCCCTCGCATGCATGAGTTGGTCAATGCCTCAAAAGCACCAAGGCCTGCGTGCGTTTGGCACACGAGATGTAAACTGCCGTGTGACTAAAGCAGCGCGTTTCACCTGATGTTTGTCGCGCAGGCCAATGACATCCTGGATGCGGCGATCAGCGAAGCCCTAACCAATCCGTCGACACCAATGCCGCTGGGCCTGAAGCCGCCGTCAGTGGATGGCGTGCTGGAGGAGCTCAACAAGCAGGGCATCACCATGCCGCCCGCCACCCCCGAGGCTCTAGACGCCCTCCCTGCTGCTGAAGTGGCCGCCGTTGCTTCCGAGCTGGAAGCCATTCTGGAGCCGTAAACGCCGCTTTCGGTGATGCAGCCAGCAGTTTGGAGGCGCGTGGAGCAGTTTTTTATTTAGCTGGTGGCAGGTAGACTGGAGAGTTGAGATTTTAAGTGGAAGCATGGCCTTGAGGTGTGTCTCTCAAGGCCCGCACAGGATATCTTCTCTACATCAACCGACAGTCCAATCCGTCAATACCTCCGTCAGTTTTGGACAACTGACCAATTTGCCGATATATCAGCCGAGGGGTTCCGAGCAGTTCTGCTGCTTGGTGTTCCCCCTGTGAACTGCAAAGCCTGGAGCGACTCGAGTTGGAAGGAGAGCGAGTTGGAGTGATCATGGAGCTGTGATGCTGTGACGCAACTCCAGCAAGATGCTGAGCGAAGTGAAGGTGCTTCAAGTGGGCCTTCAGAAGAAATAGTTGGTCTTGGTGGCATGAAGGCCAGTTTTGTTGGCATCTCTCAACTGCTTCCTACAATTTTCACTCTGTTGGGGGTGGGTTGCTCGGGATGCTTTTTTGCTTTCTTGTTCGCTGACTATCTTGCTGGGGAAAAATGGGTTAATGTTATGAGACTTCTGAAATATGGGTGGATGTGGGTGGGTTTCATCTGGTTGGCTGGATTGCACTATCTTCTGGTAGCTCTGCTTTGTATGGTCTGGGGGATCTGATGCTTCGTTTGTCCCTCTTTTCCAAACTTGTACACAGAAATGAAGTTACCTTACGTTCAGCCTTATACTCGATTAAGATCTACCCGCTCAATGCCAAAGACGTCGTGTTGCTCTGGCCTCTCGCATAACGCGAGTTTTTCAATCCCACAAATCCCCGCATCACTGATACTGCCGCCAAGTGAAAAGAGCCTTGTTTGTTACACACACATTACCGGTACCAGAAGTTCGCCATCACGACTACCGCCAGTACGCTGCAGCAGCCCTCTGGAGCTCCGCTGCGCCTATTTCTCAGGCATATCGTCTAGAAGCGTGAACAGCATCGCGATCGCCGATAGGAGCGAGGCTCGTCCTTTCTGAGTCTTCGGCATCGGCTTAGCAGTGCAGCGATGGCCGCGTATCAGCCGCTGCAGCTCGCTGCCGAGCAAGACGACCGTCCGGAATTCGTTCGCTTAGGGTAAGAACGCGACGAATGCAAGTTTATCGCTAAGCGAATCCACGCAGGTGAAGGCGTCGGTTCGTTGCGACGTAATTTACTCTAGCGATCTTTCATGTAGCTCCTATTTGTGTGTCCAGACCGGACGTAAAACTAACGCACCTCGAATCTGTGTTGAAACCCTAATCCTGCCAGGAGACGCAAGTCCGACATTCGCCAACGGCTAACTCCCGGACCCACCCCTCTCCCGAGCAACGTCTCCCCGTTCGTCACCTTCCCGGACTCCACCCCCCGACCGTCTGGGCCAGGCTTGGGCCAAGCCTCGGGTACAGGCCCGGAGACCGGGTTCGGCATGGATATGGGGGACTATTCTGGCGGTCTGAGGGGTGCTGATCAGGGGTATAGATCTCCTAAAGAGGTCCACGTCTCCCCCTTTATTGTCACACCCGGTTCCGGGCGTAGTGGGGGAGTCGGAAGGGACATCGGCGGAGATTTCCCGCTTTTCGGGGGTGGAGTGAGCCCAGAATTGGCGTCAGTTGGGGGAATGGGGAAGGGGAGGGGGAGAGCGGTAGTGAGCTCTGGAAGCCAGCCACCGCCACAGCAAGAGCAGCAGCAGAAGGAGCAGCAGCAGCAGCAGCAGCAGCAGCAGCAGCAGAGGCCGCGAACAGACAAGAAGAGGAGGGCTCGGCTGAAGATGCGAGCTGTGAGTCGTTTGATGCGAGCCGCGTGTCCCACAGGCTGCGCTGCATCACCCTCAAGCACCATATGCTCCGTTTTAATCGCAGTGCGTTTCAGTTCTGTCACACCACCACCAGTACCTCTGGCTCGCCTCACCCCCCGTGATTGTCACACCACCACCACCACCGCTGTCCCCGTGTCACGTGTGCAGGAGGCCCCAGTGGACTTTGAGGATCGCGGAGAGGAGGTGTACGAGCGGTTTCAAGGCGTGCTGGCCGCTGCTGTAAGAGGTACGTCAGGTGCTTGGCGTGGCTGCTTATCCTGGCCTTGCAGGCTCAGGCTAGCGTCTCACCCTAGTGGACTGGACACCCAGTGGACTTTGAGGATCGTGGAGAGGAGGTGTACGAGCGGTTTGAGGGCGTGCTGGCCGCTGCTGTGCGAGGTGAGAGGCATGCTGGTGAGGTGAATCAGGTGGTTGAGAGGGGTGATTCTTATCCTGGCATTCCCACCCTAGCGCCCTCCAGTGGACTTTGAGGACCGCGGAGAGGAGGTGTACCAGCGCTTTGAGGGCGTGCTGGCCGCTGCTGTTAGAGGTACGTCAGGTGCTTGGTGTAGCTAGCTTTTTATCCTGGCCTTGCGGTTGTGAGAGGTGAAGGAACGGGGCTGAGAGTGTGCAACTCACACAGGAGCATTGCTGTGCTGCTCTCCCTTTCTACAATCTCCATCCACACATTGCCGCTCTCCTGCTGCTCCTCCCAGGTGTGGTGGGCTACAGGGACTCCCTCAGGCAGTTGAAGTATTGCAACAGGGAGCTGGCGGTGGGGCTGAGGGAGAGCGTGCATGCAGCCCACACTATAGCACTTGTGTGCGTCCGTTTCTACAAATTGAGGTCACGCATTTCTTCCCTTCCTTGCAGGTGTGGTGGGCTATCGAGAATCCCTGAGGCTATTGGAGCAGTGCCGCAGGGAGCTGGCGGTGGGGTTGAGGGGGAGAGCGTGCAGTGCAGCCCGCTCAGGAGCACGGCTCTGTCTTGCTGTTATTGCAACATGTAACAACACATTGCCACTCTCTTGCCATCTGTCATCCTGTCTCCCAGGTGTGGTGGGCTATCGCGAATCCCTGAGGCAGTTGGAGCAGTGCTGCAGGGAGCTGGCGGTGGGGCTGAGGGCGGACGCGGGGGAGAGCGTGCAGCCCGCCCAGGAGCACGTGCTCAGCCGGAAGAGCGAGGGGCTCCAATCAGAGGCTGCCACGTGGGCGCTCATGCACCACCTGTTCGGATATGGTGAGGGGAAGAACTGCTGGTGCGCTTGTTGCTTGTCCTCGGCTTGCGTTTCCGTTTTTGCTTGTGCTGCCATCCCTCTTGCGCATTGTACATTCTGATGGGATGGGACCAACTCCTTGTGCCAACTAATGCCCTTCTCCTTGCTTCTCTACGCTCTCTGACATGGTATGGCATGGTATGGCATGATGGCATGGCATGGCATGGCATGGCATGGTATGGCATGGTATGGCATGATGGCATGGCATGGTATGGCATGATGGCATGGCATGATGGCATGGCATGATGGCATGGCATGATGGCATGGCATGGCATGGCACAAGCAGACACGGACTACCTCACGGAAGACCTGCGTCTGGTGAGTCTCTCATCACGTTGCTCTCCTGTCCTCCCAACCATCCACATTGCTTCTGTCAAAGAATGTATCCTACTTCGTTTCCTCCTTCACCACTTGATCCTCCCCTCCTCTCTTCCTGCCTTCCACGCTTGCTGCCGTCCTTTTCTTGCCTGCTCTCTCCTTTCCGAATCCCATGTTCCACCCCTTTCTCTGTTGCCCGTTCTTTGCACGATTTTCCCTCTTCTGCCACGTCAGCATCCGTCCCCGTCAGCACAGGACACGTGCGACTTCCTGTCGACCAATGAGAACGCGCAGCACAGCTGGCGGGTGCTGAGGTGGCTGGAAGGGCTGGCAGAGTCAGACCTCATGCTGCTGCAGGCGGTAGGTTGACCCGCGTTGAATTGACTAATTTTAAAGGTGGAATTGCGAGGCGTGAGCATAGCCGTAGGAAACTTGGCTCAATGTCTATCTACCTGGCTTGACTGTGGTTTACCTAGCTTGACTTGGCGTAAGTTCTCTGCGTGCTGAAGCCACATGGGCCTCAGCTTTCCTTGTCAATTCCCTTTCCCAATAGACCCCCCGCCTCCGCCAAACTCCGCCAAACTCCTCTGCACCTCGCTCTTCACCCCCACCCGCCCCACCCACCCCACCCCCCCCCCCCTACCCCACCCCCCTGTCTTTCCGTTCGCCTTCTCCTTCACGCTGTCTCCTCCCCCAGGAGCGAGGCACCTGCCTGGGAAGCTACACAGAAGCGTCTGGCCTGCGTGTGCACACACAGAGGGCGATCCGCGAGGGGCAGGGGGGGCTGGGCGGGATTGTGGGGCTGGGCGGCAGGAGGATCAACGCCCTGGCGTTTGGTGAGGTGGTGGAGGGTCGGTATGGCCGGGGAGGGGGGGAGGAGATGGTGACGGCTGTTGATGCTGATGCGGTAACTCGCGAGGGGGGGCGCCTGCATGCAGAGGATGAGGTGAGCGGGGGTGGGGCACTGCAAGAGGTGGTCAGATCCTGATGTATGCTGATGTAATTTGTGGTTTCACCCACCACAGCTCCTTCTTGGACTCACCTTCACCTTCGTGACTTTTGAGTCGACTCAAAAGTCACCTTTTGAGTCGACGCAAGAGGTGGTCAGGTCTGTGGATGCTGATGTGATTTGTGGTCTCACTCACCACTGCTCCTTCTTGGACTCACCTTCACCTTCGTGACTTTTGAGTCGACTCAAAAGTCACCTTTTGAGTCGACGCAAGAGGTGGTCAGGTCTGTGGATGCTGATGTGATTTGTGGTCTCACTCACCACTGCTCCTTCTTGGACTCACCCTCACCTTCGTCCATATCGCCCTCCTCCCTCATCTCTCCAGCGAGTAATAGAGGTACTGCTCTCGGATGTCTTCATGCGCATCACTGCCACCCCTCTTAACCCACCCACCATCCTCTCCACACCTCACTCCTAACACCACCCTTCCCCACAGCGAGTGGAGGAGGAGTTGCTATCAGACGTCTTCACGCTCATCACTGCCCCTTATTGACCCCACCCTTCCCATCCTCCCCATCCTTCCCGTCCTCCTTCCCCTCTCGTCTGTTTCTGCTCTCATCCCCCACAGCGAGTGGAGGAGGAGTTGCTATCAGACGTCTTCACGCTCATCACTGCCGGCCGCATCCACGACGCCCTCAACCTCTGCCGGGCGGCAGGGCAGACCTGGCGGCCGGCAGTCCTCGGCGGGACATGGGCCGCGCCGCCCAGCGCGGGGGCGGCAGGGGAGAGCTTCCCCACAGCCGCCACGTGGCGCGAGATGAGTGGAGGGGCGAGGCGGGCGGCACAGGCGGGGGAGGTGGAGGGGGGGAAGGGGAGGGGCAGGAGGCTGTGGAAGTGGTCGCTGCTGGTGGCGTCTGAAGCTTCTGCCAGTCGGTTTGAGGCGGCTGTGCTGGGAGCGCTGTGTGGCAATGTGAAGCGGATACTGCCAGTTTGCACGTCATGGGAGGTGCGTGTGAATGTGCATGTGCGTTTATGCGCGTGTGTGCTTTTGAGACTTGCAATACCCATGCCTGGTGATGTGGGGGTTGCCTGTGCCAGGCACATGTGTGTAGAATTTGTGTGATGTTGTGGGTGGGTGTGAAGTTTATGGCTTGGATTTAGTTTACCTCTCTCATTTCCCTTGCGCCACTCCTCTAATAGGCGCCACTCCTCTAATAGGCGCCACTCCTCTAATAGGCGCCACTCCTCTAATAGGCGCCACTCCTCTAATAGGCGCCGCTCCTCTAATAGGCGCCGCTCCTCTAATAGGCGCCGCTCCTCTAATAGGCGCCGCTCCTCTAATAGGCGCCGCTCCTCTAATAGGCGCCGCTCCTCTAATAGGCGCCGCTCCTCTAATAGGCGCCACTCCTCTAATAGGCGCCACTCCTCTAATAGGCGCCACTCCTCTAATAGGCGCCACTCCTCTAATAGGCGCCACTCCTCTAATAGGCGCCACTCCTCTAATAGGCGCCACTGCTAATAGGCGCCACTCCTCTAATAGGCGCCACTCCTCTAATAGGCGCCACTCCTCTAATAGGCGCCACTCCTCTAATAGGCGCCACTCCTCTAATAGGCGCCACTCCTCTAATAGGCGCCACTCCTCTAATAGGCGCCACTCCTCTAATAGGCGCCACTCCTCTAATAGGCGCCACTCCTCTAATAGGCGCCACTCCTCTAATAGGCGCCACTCCTCTAATAGGCGCCACTCCTCTAATAGGCGCCACTCCTCTAATAGGCGCCACTCCTCTAATAGGCGCCACTCCTCTAATAGGCGCCACTCCTCTAATAGGCGCCACTCCTCTAATAGGCGCCACTCCTCTAATAGGCGCCACTCCTCTAATAGGCGCCACTCCTCTAATAGGCGCCACTCCTCTAATAGGCGCCACTCCTCTAATAGGCGCCACTCCTCTAATAGGCGCCACTCCTCTAATAGGCGCCACTCCTCTAATAGGCGCCACTCCTCTAATAGGCGCCACTCCTCTAATAGGCGCCACTCCTCTAATAGGCGCCACTCCTCTAATAGGCGCCACTCCTCTAATAGGCGCCACTCCTCTAATAGGCGCCACTCCTCTAATAGGCGCCACTCCTCTAATAGGCGCCACTCCTCTAATAGGCGCCACTCCTCTAATAGGCGCCACTCCTCTAATAGGCGCCACTCCTCTAATAGGCGCCACTCCTCTAATAGGCGCCACTCCTCTAATAGGCGCCACTCCTCTAATAGGCGCCACTCCTCTAATAGGCGCCACTCCTCTAATAGGCGCCACTCCTCTAATAGGCGCCACTCCTCTAATAGGCGCCACTCCTCTAATAGGCGCCGCTCCTCTAATAGGCGCCGCTCCTCTAATAGGCGCCGCTCCTCTAATAGGCGCCACTCTTGCTTCCTTTCCTCCCCCCGCTCCCCCCGCCCCTTCCCCCCTTCCCCCCCCCCCTTCCCCCCTTCCCCCCCCCTTCCCCCCTTCTCCCCCCCCTTCTCCCCACTTCTCCCCCCTTCCCCACCCCCCATCCCCCCCTCCTCCCCCCCCTTCACCCCGCCTTCCGCCCTCCCTCCCCTCCCCTCCCCCCCTCTTTCCCCTTGCCCAACACCCCGTGATCAGACGGCCTGCTGGGCATTGCTGCGCTGCTGGCTCGACTACCAGGTGAGCACTGAGCACGTGTAAAAATATTATTTTCGAGACGTCTCAAAAATATCTTTTTTTTACACGTGACTGCTGGCTCGACTAGCAGGTGAGCACTGAGCAAGCACTCAGTCGAGTTTTGAGTCGACTCGAAACTCGACTCATTACACGCTGCTGGTTCGACTATCAGGTGAGCACTGAGCAAGCACTCAGGAGCTCTGTCGATGCTACTTTTGAACAAAAGTTAACATTAAAAGTAACGTCAACACATCTCCGTGTGTCCATTGTCCTGCAACTCGTCATAAGAACCCCAACTCATGGACACGACTACTTTGCATACCCCTTTACGGATGTGCTCATGTGTACTCTGCACGTGCATGTCCTGCGCTCATCCCATCAGTCGCAGGCATTGCCAGCCTTCTACTCACATCTCCCACTCCCTTCCCCTCCCCGCTTACTGTACTCTCTCCTCTTGCTACACCCGCTCTGCAGGTCGAAGCTCACCTCTCCGCCTCCTCCTCCTCGCCCCTCCCCCGCGCCCTCCCTTCCGTCTCTGCCGCTGCCACTCGTGCTCTCGCTTCCATCTCCCCTGCGCCCTTCCTCTCCTCCTCCTCTGCCGCCTCTGCTCTTGCCGCTACAACCATGCCTCTACCACCATCTTCTTCGTCATCAGCAGCAGCAGCGGCAGCGTCGGCTGCGGCGGCGGTGTCAACAGCAGCGGGAGCGGCAGTGTGGCCGGCACCAGTGGCAGCACAGCAACCAGCCGACTTCGACGATCTCTTTCAGAAGCTCAGGACCAGGTGGGTGGGTGGGTTTCCCATGGGCTGCTGCTAGCATGTCTCTTGCTCCGTCTTCCTCCTCATCCTCAGCAGCAGCACCACCAACATCAGCAGCAGCAGCGGTGTCAACAGCAGCGGGAGCAGCAGTGTGGCCGGCACCAGTGGCAGCACAGCAACCAGCCGACTTCGACGATCTCTTTCAGAAGCTCAGGACCAGGTGGGTGGGTGGGTTTCCCATGGGCTGCTGCTAGCATGTCTCTTGCTCCGTCTTCCTCCTCATCCTCAGCAGCAGCACCACCAACATCAGCAGCAGCGGCGGTGTCAACAGCAGCGGGAGCAGCAGTGTGGCCGGCACCAGTGGCAGCACAGCAACCAGCCGACTTTGACGATCTTTTTCAGAAGCTCAGAACCAGGTGCGTGGTTGGGTTTTTCATGGGCTGCTTCTAGCATGTCTCTTGCACCGTCTTCCTCCTCATCCTCAGCAGCGGCAGCACCAACATCAGCAGCAGCAGCGGTGTCGACAGCAGCGGGAGCGGCAGTGTGGCCGGCACCAGTGGCAGCACAGCAACCAGCCGACTTCGACGATCTCTTTCAGAAGCTCAGGACCAGGTGGGTGGGTGGGTTTCTCATGGGCTGCTGCTAGCATATCCCTTGCACCATCTTCCCCTCACTCCCAGACGCCGTCAAGCGCAGCAGCAGCGAGCCGCACCACGTGCTGCACGCCAAGCCCACTGTCTCCTCCCCTTCTTCTGCCTTCCTTCCCACTCCTCGCCCCATTCCCCTCCCATCCAGCCCCTCTCTCTCAGACGCCGTCAAGCGCAGTAGCAGCGAGCCACACCACGTGCTGCAGACGCACCTCATTCTCAGGAACGTCCCAGGAACCATCCAGGCGCTGCGATCGTGGATCATTCCCTCCGTGGCTCCCTCAGGATTGGCCGCTTCTCTGGGCGGCAGTTTGGAGAACGAGTAGGTGCTCTTTCTCTCTTGGAGTTGCTTCTGAAAATTTCCAAGAGCATAATTTTCTCTGTGGCTCCCTCGGGATTGGCTGCTTCGTTGGGTGGCACTTTGGAGAACGAGTAGGTTCCCTCTTTCTTTCGCTTTGCTGCTACCCCATGCATGCACCATCCCTTTTGCTTTACTGCACTGCCCACACTCCCCTGCTTGCCCTTTTTTCATGCCTTACCTGCCTGCTCCTCCCTGTATTGCCGCATATCCTCTTTCCACCCCCTGCCTTTCCATTCGCACAATCCCCTGTCCTCCTCTCTCCGCCCTATGCCCTCTTCTTTCTCCCCCTCCTAGCTCCATCCCTGCCCTGGTTCACTGTGGCGCCCACCTGGTGGTGCTGCTGCTCTGAGGCGCCTCAAGTGAGCAGCTCTGACCCTGCCTTCCTCCCTCACCTCCCCTCCATCCCCACTCGAACCCCAGTTCCGACCCCGCTCTGGTGCGCTGTGGTGCCCATATGGTGGTGCTGCTGCACTCCGTGCTCCCACTGCTGTACTCACACGCTTTTAAATCCCCGTCATCCCTATTCCCCCTCGTTCAATCTTTCCCTCTCCCTCCCCCCCCCCCCTCTCCCACATCAGCTCTGACCCTGCATTGGTGCGGTGTGGCGCCCATCTGGTGGTGCTGCTGCGCTCCGTGCTCCCCGCTGCTGCTCACCAGCAGTACAGGGACTGGCTCAACACATCAGGGGACGTCATCTTATACACGTGAGTGTATCAGGTGCATGTTCTTATGCCGGTGTGTTGGGTACATCTAGTGCATCATCAGCCACTCACCAGCAGTACAGGGACTGGCTCAACACATCAGGGGACGTCATCTTATACACGTGAGTGTAACAGGTGCATGTTCTTGTGCCGGTGCGTTTGGTATATCTGGTGCATCAGACAGGTCGTTGCCTGCTTGCTAGCCATAGAGGGAGTGGCTCAATGCGTCAGGGGATGTCATTCGGTACACGTGAGTGTTGCTTATGAGGGTCACACTTGGATGATAAGGCAATAACCGGTGCAGGTATATCCAGTGTGACATCAGTTGCTCGCCAGCAGTACAGGGACTGGCTCGACACGTCAGAATTCTCATCCTGTACACGTGATACGCAGCATGTTTGTATGCATGCATGTGCGTCAGGTGTATCTGGTGCATCGTCAGCTGCGGTGTTGTCATCATGCTGCGGTGTTTTTTGCCATCACTCGTGTTGTGTGGAGCGACGAGGCGGACGGGACTGCGGATGATGACATGATTTTTCCGGGTGAAGGAATGCCTGGCGGACGCGGAAATTGCATTGTTCGGAATCAATCAGATACTCATGCAGCGCTGGTGAGATCAACTGGTTCGAGGCAAAACTAGTTTAAACTGGCACCTCCACTTGCCGGATGCTCTGGCAAGTCTCGAGAATGCACGGAATTGGACTGTGCAAAGAACATCAGCAGCAGCCCAGCAGCAGCAACCCAACTGCTGGGCTGCTCTTTGCACGGCCCGATTCCGTGCATTCTCGAAACCTGCCAGAGCATCCGGCAAGTAGGGGTGCCAGTTTGAATTATTTTTTTCTCGAATCAGTTGATGTCACCATCACCGCATGAGCATCCGATTACTTCTGAGCGATGCAATTTCTGCATCCGTTAGGTATTCCTCCACCTAAAAATTGATGTCATCATCCGGGGTCCCCTCCGCCTCGTCAGTCCACACAACACGCGTGACTTACTCAACACGTCAGGAACGTCATCCTGTACACGTGAGCGTGGCTTATGCAGGTCATCCCTAGGTGATACCTGGGGCAGGTGATACCTGGTGCATGGTGTCCATCTTTCCCTATTCTCTTCCTAATTCCCTCGATCTCTCCCCATCTCGCTCTTGTGTTGTCTGTTCGTCTCCCCATCCCATCAGCTACTGTGTGCTGCTGGCAGCGCAGCGAAGGGACCATCTCACGCCGCTCTAACGCTTCGCTTCTCCTCACGCCCTCCCTCGCCTCTGACTTCTTTCTTCAACTCTTCGAACAGCGCAAAACAGACAGGTGTGTGCATGTGGTGTGCTGCTGCTGCTGCTGCTGCTGGTGCTGCAACTGCCGCTACTGAATTGTGTGTGCCGTTTGAGGCGCCTTTTAAGTGGTGTCTCAATAATACGGAGATCCCTAGAAGTTTTGTCAGCACTTTACTTCTTCCGTCCAACAAACTCTCCCAGACCCTTTCGTACAAAAATCCGTCGCACATTACCTGTTCCGTTCAACTCCTCCTCATTCGACCATCTCCTATCTGATATTTCCAAAACCCACCTTTCCTGTCCTTAAATGCTTCAATCTTTTCCTTTCCCCCTCTCTTCCTCCTCCACATCACACCCCATCCTTCTTCCTTTCCCGTCCTCCCTTAACCCCCCGCTGCCATCTCTCCCCTCCATCTTCCCGCGTCCCACCAGTGTGGAGGCAAAGAGGCGGACAGTGGAGGCGCTGTGTCTGCACCTTCCTCTCTCCGGCCCTGACTCAGTCCCCACCATGCTGCACAGGTGCGCCCCTCCTCTTTTTTCACTCATATGCATACCAAGTGTGTCGCACAGCTGTTAGTAGCAACAGCCATACGTCTTATCTCCCACCACTATCCCTCCCTTCCGCTCCTCCCCATATGCTGTTCTTCATTTTCTCTCCCACCCTCTCTCTCCGCTACCCAACCCAACACCCAACCTCCCTTCCTCTGCTGTTCCTGTTTCCTCTTTCCCCTTCCCACACGTGCTCCTCCATCTTCCCTTCTCATCCCCCTCCTCCTCCCTCTCCCCCTCCTCCTCCCTCTCGCCCTCCCCCTCCCCCTCCCCCTCCCCCTCCCCCTCCCCCTCCCCCTCCCCCTCCCCCTCCCCCTCCTTCTCTCCATTCCCCCCCTCCTCCTCTCCATTCCCCCCCTCCACTTCCCCGTCCCCTATCTCCTCCCTCCCCCTCTCCCATCCTGCTTGCTTCTGCCAACCTCCCCCAGGTTTCTCTCCAAGTGCTCCCATTGGTCGGATCCAGGGGTCCTGCCGGCCTCTGATTGGCCGAGAGCGGTGCTGGCGGATCTGAGGGGACAGGTGGCGGCGTTTGAGTGGGCTGTGACGGACCCCACTGCCCCGGCGACAGTGGGCAGTGCGGAGTGGGGCAGGGAGAGGAGGAAGATGCAGCGACTGGCCCTGCAGCACGGGTGAGAAAGACAGAAGGAGAGGAGCAGCAAGAGCAGGGGAAAGAGTGTTGTCGAGAGCGGTGGGAACAGAGGGAATGTAGTAATCGGGAAAGAATTGTGAAAATTTACTCAAAGGCAGTGAGGTACTGCCCTGAATAGAAACTTTTTTAAAAAGCAATTCACAACCACAATATACAGATGCAGAGGCAGTGAGCTATGCCTCTGATTAGGAAAACCTCACTTTTCTATCCTCTTGGCCTCGCCTCTCCCTAATCTGTTCCCTTTTCTCGTGCATTCATTCCAGGAACCTTCTGCTGCGCGCCATGCTCCTGGCGGCACATGCAGAGGGCGGCAGCAGCAGCGGCAGCCCGTCCAGCCAATCAGGGCGCTCCATTGCTGCGCTGCTGGCAGACACAGTGGCAGGCATTCACGCAGAGAGGGAGGCAAAGCGAGGCGAGAAGGGCGAGGGGCAAGAGGAGCAAGAGGAGCAGGGTTTAGATGAGGAGGAAGAGGAGAGCGTGGAGCTGAGCGAGTTTGATTTCTGGGTACGGCCTCTCCTCATTTCCCCAATGCCCCTCCGGTTGCTTGTATGTTGTGGTATCTTCTGTCGGCCCCACAAAGTAGGGGCACAGCTCCAATAACCATCATCTCCTTATTCCCCAGACATCCCTCCCATTCCCATCGTCCCCCCCTTCACTCATCACCTCTACTCCCCATTTCTCGCTCTCCACGACCCGTCCCATTGGTCTAGGTGGATTACAATCGCTGCTGACGTGGCGTACCGTGGTTGGGCAACGGCGGCAGCAGCAGCGGCGGCACGCAAGGAGGAGCGGGAGCGGAGCGAGCAGGGAGGGGTTCAGATGGGGGGCACAGGGCAGGAGGAGGGGGAAGCAGAGAGGGAGAAGGAACGAGCAGACCTCTTATCGCTTGCCAGTCGCGCTGTCTCTATTGGCATGCAGCTGCTGCAGAGTATGCCCTTCCATTCTCTCTCTACTTCCTATCTCCCTCCTTCCCTGCTCTCCTCTTCCCCTCTCTCCTCACCTTCTTGCAATTACCTGCTGGCTCTAGCCAGTTGCGTTGTCTCTATTGGCATGCAGCTGCTGCAGCGTACGCCTCTTTACCTTTCCTCATCTTTAAAAGCAACAACGGCCAGGCAATCCCACCTCTGCTCTTCTTGAGCCGTCTCAAACCTGCTCCATGAGCCATCTCCATTCGCACACAGTACCTTTGAAGTATGTTATTTTTTCATGCTCTCTGCTCCTTCCTGCTGCCACCCTCTCGCCCTTTCCACCCTCACTCTCCCACCATCCCCAGGGGAAGCCTCATCAACCATGCGACTTCAAGTCACCCCACAACAGCAGTCCCACCAGCAACAGCAGCAGCAGCAGGGCAGTGAGCACGTAGTGGTGGCGTGTGTGGCGGTGCTGGCTCCCTCAGGGGCTCTTGTCCCAGGAGACGCTTCTCTGTGTGCCGCCATGCATTCGGCGCTCATGGCATGCTTGGGGGAGCGAGAGGCAGAGGCACGGCAAGTCAGGGTGAGTACGGTGGTCTGGGATGGGAACCAGTGCTTGAGAAAGCAGTGTGCTGTGGTGTTGAGTGCTCTTCTTCAAGGCAGTATGCTTCTCTGTGTGCCGCCATGCACTTGCCTCTCAAGGCATGCGCGGGGGAGCGAGAGGCAGACGCACGGCAAGTCAGGGTGAGCGGAGCTGCTCTCGTGGCATGTGTGTGTGGTAACGAGGCAGTGTGTGTCTCGTGGTTGTCAACTCAAGGCTGTCAACCCTGACTCCCCACCATCATATCCTCTGCATTCTTGGCTTTTCCCCCGTCCCCCTCCCCCTACTCCCCCGCTCTCCATCTCCCTCTGTCCCTCAGGTTGACGTGGCAGTGCATCCCTCCGATTCGCGCCTGCTCACGCTCGCCATCCGCTGCCTGGCCGCAGGAGGGGACGAGGAAGAGGCGAGTGTGGATGTGGAGAGCCCTGCTGTTTGTATCATGGCCCGTGTTGTCAAAGGTTCGTTTCTGCTTCCAGTGAACACTTGGGGGGAGAGGATTTCATGGAAAGGGGGGACAGGAGGGGAGAGGTTTGTGAGGAGCTTGTGTGCATTGCTGTTGCTGCTCGCACTTTCCGAATATGGCATTTCCCCATTGCCATCTCTTTTCTGCAACCATCTTTTTAATCCTCCTCCTTTCCCTTACTCTTCTGTTGATCTTTCTCCCTCTTTCCTTCCTTCCCTGCTACCCCCCCATGCGTTCATGCACTTGTGCTGTCCCCCCCTCCCTCTCGCCCCCTCTCTCCCCCACTCCCTACTCACCTCACCAGCCGAGTTGCCTCACATGGACCCTGCTGCTCGAATGCATGTGGTGCGCTGTGCTGCCTTCACGACCCAACCTACCCGCCACCCAAGCTTCTCCCGGACCACCGTGGACAGCTTTGGCACTGTTGCAGCAGCGGAGGCTCGGGGTGCCGAGCCTGCGCCGTGGCTCATGCGCCAGCTGTGCCGAGTGTGCTGCCTTCCTACACTTGCATTGCGCTGCCAGGAGGTGGGTGTGTGTAGATGATATTAGAATGAATGGATTTGGCTTGTGTGTCCCTTTTATGGGTGAATGGAGGTTGGGGTTGGTGTGCGACTCATTATGTCTACATGCGTTGCATTCGGCGTATTGTCTTATGCATGTGTCTGTTCCTGCTATAATAACTCTCCATCCAATCTCCACCCACATTCCATTATTGTCACACTCGTTTTATGCAGGTGCGGGTGTTTATGGCGCAGCAGCTGGAGCCATCAGTGCATGTGGACCCCGCAGCGGCAGGGGAGGTCATGGAGGCAACTGATGTGGCCGCTCTGCTGGCCCAGGGCACGCTGCATCAACTCTTCACACCACAGCAGCTCCAGGTGGGTCTCGTCACTGCATTTTTTTCTGTACGATTTGTTGATTTCTTTACATCGCTGTTGCAGCTGGTGTTTGCACGACATTTGGGTGATCTTGGCCTCCTTTTTTTTGTGTTACAGAAATTGCTACTTATGGAAAGGGAGGTCGTTCTCAGCTCCATCAACCAAGGGTAGTCAGTGTTTCCAAGTTCAGGGGCATGTCTGCTGCCTTGTATTACCATTCAAGCTGAACCCAGTGAGAGTATCGATTGTCTTAGCCATATTGAAATCTTATTCCGAGTGTTTTTTATCAATGTTTTATAACTAAGTTCTGAGAAAGTTCTCTTCTTGGTGTGGGTGCTTTCCATTGGCTGGAGAGTCGGTCCACATTTGTTTGCGACAGAGCCTGTCACCTTCGCGCGCCGTTATAACCGTCCTATTGGCTGCATGTTTCCTGCAGAAGTGTGCGACGCAGACTCTGAACTGAAATCGCATGCGATCCGTTCAGCCGAAATGACTGGAAGAACCAGTTGACTGCTCGGAGCGCAATGACGAAACCGCACTTCGCGAAGCGCACATTTATCCACATTCGCGACACGGAAGGAACAGAACAGAGACCACCTCCCCAAGCTCCTAGTTTCTGGTAATTGGCGAGGCGAGGCGAAGTTCAAAGTTGGATTGGAACCAAGCAAACTCATCACCACGACTACCAACACTGGTCAGAGAGAGACACCGCCGTTCGTCGTTCACAAGGCGGCGACTGAACATACGCTACAAGGTTGTTCAATCAAACTGGTCATTGACGTGTCGAAAGGCCGGACACGGTTCCTCCGCTTAGTCCTTCAAAGAAAGTTCCTCGCAACTTGGGCCAGATTTGCTTCTGCACTATCAGCGAAACCTCACCTCACTCGTGGAACATACATCGGTCACATAAACGCTCTATGTTCGGATACGGCAGTAAACTTAGTGGAAGAGATCAACAGTAGCTCTATCGAAATAGAACTCATACCTCGTCGCTAGTTAAGCGAAATCATCTATTCCTTGCGGATCAGGGCGACGTCGACCATCAATCTGTTTTCATTCTATTTCATTCCTGACTATCACGCTCAATTGCTCATAAGTCATCCTTGACAGCAGCCATGGGAGAATCCGCATTATTGCAACAATTACCGCGCCGCTTGTTGACGCATCGCGCACTTGCTCTCCTCTGTCTCGCGTCCCTTCCGCTGCTCTCTCTCGGTAAGACCCGATATGCCCATTCCTGCTGCGTGAAGATCTAGCACTGCCGTTGCGCGAGGAACGTACGTTATGTCGCTCATTGTTTTCTCAATTTACTCACTCCCTAAAGCTGTCGGCGCCAAGCTCGTCTCAAGAGTCTGCGCATTCTCGCCATGCTCTATGTTGAATTGCCCGTTTATATATCCGATATATATCCGTTCGAGTCGAACACCTGCACAGTTAATATTTATCTTGTCGCTCACGTTTCTCACCTCTGTACTTCTATCCCCGTTACAGCGAAGAGTTCGTCGTCGTCCGATTTCCTCCCCCCGCCGCCCTCCTGGCCCGAGGAGTACGCGGGAGTTGCGCCGCTTCCCCCCGACGACTCCGCCGCCACCTTCCGCGTGGCGGACTACGGCGCGCAGCCCGACGGGCGCGCGGATAGCTGGGGCGCCTTTCGCCACGCCTTCGACGCAGCCTGCAAGCTCGCGGAGGCGGAAGGCGTGCGCGTCCGCGTGCTCGTCGCTCCGCCGTCCGCGGAAGGGTCCTCTGGGGAAGCACTTCCGGGGAAAGCTCTTTGGGGAGGAACTCTTCCGCGGAAACATCATCAACGGACAGCGCTACGAACGATTCGAGCAGAATTGCGAGCACGAAAAGCACCAGCGACAGTGCCGCTGGCAACGGCATTGACACGTCATCAGGCAACGACTCATCCGCGAATAGCGATCCCAACAATACTGCGAATAACATGCCTCATCTGCCGCCCGTCGCTGACGTCACAATGCCGTCCGTCAACGTTAACGTGAACGTCGACAATCCGCTCGCTAACTTGGACGCGTTGAAAGGGCCCACCAGCAGCGGAGGCGGCAACGGCAATGGCGGGGGCGGGAACGGGAGCGGGGGAAGCGGAGCAAGCGCCGCGCACGTGGTTAGCGATACGATGCAGTGGCTCCTCAATCACCGCGGATTGGCGGAAGAAAACCGCGGGCTGGCGGAGAGGAGGTTGGCGGAGCGGAGCCAAAGATCTGGGGAGCGGAACCGTCTGCTGGCGGAGCAGCGCCGAGAGGCGGACGACAGCGCCAAGTACTATCTCAGCCGTTCGATCACGGTGAACGGATCGTGCGGCGCAGGTTTGACGCTGCAAATCGACGACGCGACGATCTACGGCCCCAAAACTGCAGAGGGTTATCCCGAACCGTCGCCGTACATTAACGAGGATAAAATCGGCGTAGCGAGTAACGGCATGTTTCGGTTCATAGGGATAACGGGGCTGGTCATACGCGGTAGTGGCAGCCTCGACGGCAACGGCGAGGGGTACTGGGATACCGAGTCGCACGACCGGCCGCACCTGCTGTCGCTGATCAACTGCCGCGAGGTCATTCTTGACGGCGTGGCGCTGCGGTGAGTAACGTCGAGAATGTCTCTCTCCTCTCTCCTCTCTCCTCTCTCCTCTCTCCTCTC